AAAGTAGAGAAGCAAGTTCTAGTGGTAGATCTCAACGACGAAGGTTTATCGATCGAGAGCGTGATGTTGGACAACTACGGCTTTCCAATGAATATTTTGTCAACGATCCAGTATTTACTCCTGAGCAGTTCTGTCTTTGGGATGCAAAAAGAGTTGTATCTTCGCATTGTAGATGCTGTTCAAAATTACTCCGAATATTTCCAACAGAAGCCTGATGCATCAAGAAAAATGGGCTTCACCGCCATTCAAAAAGTTACTGAGGCTATTAAGCTATTAGCATACGGAGGAGCAGCTGACCACCTCGACGAATATCTAAGGATGAGTGAGTCTACTGCAATTGAAAGTTTGATTCAGTCACACAACAAAAACAAAATACACAGATGAATGTGAAATTTGAGGAATGTTCCACCTCTATATCACAAACAAAAATTTCAAAGATTGAAACATATAAATTTATCTGCTAATAAGACTGCATTGAAAATGACAAAGAACGAAAAAAAGTTGCTTATCTTTAAGGCCACAACAATAACACATTGCTGTATAACAATTAGATATTAAACATTCCTCAAAGAAACAAAAACTACTGCATAAATTTAGGTTGATAATCAGAGTTATCATAACTTGCTGCTTGGGTCGGAATTAAGTTTCAAAGACACAACATTCAACTATGTTTCAAGGAGCATGGACAATAAGATACTATAAAGCTTAAATTTCAAATTAAAAAATAAATAAATTTGAATCATGCATGTAATTCAGAAGCTCAATTTTTAGGGACTTTGTCAAGAACCAGAAGAAATTCACAAACCCAGGGCTTAAAATTGTCCCCACCTAACACCACCATGCTATTGGAGCTTTTAACTTTAATAACTCACAAACCAATGCAAAAACAACCAAGAGAAGCAAAACCCACAAATAATTATCCAAAAATTTCATATATGCAACATGTGCAAGTGCTCAAGCTTAGCTCTTTCTATCTGGATTATATAGGAGGAATGAAACTTCCAAATCAAGAGGATTAAAGAACTCACTTGGTTACCACCAAGCTTGTGCACTTGACCAGCAACAAATATCTTTTCAACAGCATCTTCTGAGTCAAAGATAAAAAAAAAAAATTGAATTAATGAAATACAATGATAATTGTTGGCAAATCGAACATCATAATGTTTATATTATTATATATTCTAATCCCAAAAACAGCAACATGACATGATGGCATTACATGCTCAATTCATGCATAGAATAAAAAAATCTACCTAAGCTACGGGTGTCAAGCTGCTCTTTCATAGACAATAGGTTGCATTTGATGACACAATAACATTTTCTCTGTTATTGGCTTCTAAGGAAGTAGTTCACAAAATCTTTATGCATTGGAGAATTCAGAGTTTCCAACATCATTGAAATTTTATAAAAGAGGGAATAAACCGGGAACAAAAGTTAAAATAATACATCAAGACCATAAGCTATAGCTTCTTCAGAACAAAAACCTTTTTTGTACATAATATCAATAGCAAGCAAAGCAAATAGCAAGCTTTCAGAACAGTTCCCTAGTTGGACTGGGTCCTTAATTTCAATTACCGTGTACAAATATACTCGAATTCATTCATATCCCCGTTGGTAAAATTATTTGTATTGTCTTGTTTTTGCACAGACATTTAAAGAATATGAAAATTGGTAATTTAATTTGAACTAAGCCTTCACCTCAGTTTGCAGCAAAAGAAGCCCATGCTTTTTTCACATAGGCGCCCTTCCAATGTGAACTGCTTACATACTAATCTTCCAATGTGATTTGCATACAAATCAGGGTCAGAAGACGAATTTACGTATTAGGGTAATGCATAATATAGAGTTTTGCTTGATTCAGGCCAAAGAGGAATTTACTCCATAGCGGCAGTCGAGCCGGCTTCCATCTGGATCTGATCAGGATCTCATGTAATCGGCAAAGAGCAATTGAGGACTTTTCAAATACCTACCGCCGGTTGTATCAACAATTAAAAAAAAAAAACAAAATGAATCTTCACCCATTCGATAGCATGAACATACAATTAAACATATGATCCTCTATGTTTGAAATTGAAAAGAAAAAAATCAGAACCTTCAGAACCCTAATTCATCCAAAAAGGGTAGTCTGCTCCTGGGTTCTGCGCCGACGCTGCTTCTCTGCCGGTTGTTCATCAATCAAGCATTTCCTCTTCAATTAGTCATCATCGGCCACTAAAGTACTATAACAATTAATAATATCAGTCATCTAATTTGAAAGGAACCCGTTTGAGAAAAAAAAAATTAGATGCTTACCCGTTAAAGTTTAAGTAATGGATAAAAAGACTGTGGGAATTGTTGACGGCTAAGGAATCGTTATCGGATCTGGAAAGGAAACATAAGGGAATACAACAGAAAGACACAACCTTCCACTTGAGATCTTTGAGATTGTGACTAAGGAGAGCTTTTGCATGGGTTTTGTACGCTTTCTCCTATCTTCTCACTTGATCTCATCAATCGGCTGGAAGGGTGGATGGAATCTCGTTGCCCTCTTTGTCTACTCTTCCCATGGGGTGTCGTCGTTAGAATTCCGTGGCTGTGCAGTTGTCGTTCGGCTCTCCGTATTTGAAATTGAAACATAGGATTTGTGATTAAGTAAAGGGGATAATTGATTCTGTGAAAAGAAGCAGTATTGGATGATGACTTATTTTTGTAATTTGAATATATTGAAGAGCGGATTTATGGGAGTAAAATACTGCTAACGCGCGATTTTTTGGAATCATTGAATATTGATATAGTAAAATTAGGAGTAGAAAATAAAGGATTAGTTTTTTTAAGGGGCAGAACTCTGATCATTTTGGAGCCAGAGAAGCATGGAGAAGCATGCCACGTGTAAGATTTTTTTGTGAATAACTTTTGGCTGTTGGAGGGAAAACATAGACTGTGGAGCTACAAAGTATTCTCGAGTGTTTCTACTTTAAGTAAGTAAAGGGGATTTTACCAATTATTATTAGAACGAATTGCAGAATACCTTCGAATTTTTGTCAAAACCACCATAAATCTCCGAATTTTAGTAATACTAACACACCGTTTGAAGAAAATCAGTGAACAAAAATGAGCTCTCCTTTTCCAGTTATATTATATAGAGGCATTCCAGTTTCAGTTCAGCTCACAACAGTAATGTCAATGAAGAAAATAAGTATTACACCAAATCCACAACAAACGACCGGAAGTCTATAATATTACATACAATAAAAATATTTGTAAATTGGATAGGTGCTAAAAATGCGTATCATTTTGGGCAATTTATAACGTAAACTAGAGTTCATCATAGATGGTGAACCTGTTTTGGGATTTGTACAATACGCTTAAAAAAAAGATTGAGTTTCAATTAGCTTTTCATAACAAGTACCACGCGCAGTTTTATAAATAATATTTTCTCTTACTTTTTCTCTAATATCTTATCACCAAATATATCATGTCTACCAAATATAAACTGAAAATCACTTACTTACTATTCACTAAACTTCTCGTTTATAAATTAATTTGAAAAAATGATGATTAAATGTAAGATATCTTTCTTCATCCTACAAAATTTTATGAGTTGTAGCATGAGTTTTGATTTGAATCAAAATACTTTACAACTCTATTGTCCTGATAAACGATAATCTAGTAGAAGGTTACCAAGCAGATGGCAGTGAAATTGTGGGAACGAAGCTAACGACGGAGTTCATGACAGATGATGGTTCAAACATGGATTGAATGAGCCAATGATGAGGATGATTTGACACAACTCCATTTGATACGCATTGAAGATGATGAATTATCCACACAACTTCAATTAACATCCATTCATGAAGATGAACCTTCTCAACATGAATAGGGTAATGTACTTATTTGCTAATAAACAATTCTTCATAGAATTATGAATACACTTATCTACACTCTTGAATTATACTATATATCTTTATGATTATATAAAGATGTCACCATGAACATGTCTGGTATGGACATTATAATATACTATCATGAATTAATAGTTAAGTATTTATGAACAATGAAATTATATACCGTGAACTTGTGAAATATCGTGAATTAATAGTCAAATACTTATGAACAATGAAATTATATACTGGTGAAATTTCCAACTTTTATTCCAAATTAACAGGTTATGTTTTAATTCATGAATATTTGTATCTTAATTTCCATAAATTTATAACTATGTCCTTATGAACAACGTAATTACCCTCTATAGTAATGCATTTCTTTTCTTTCTTACATGAAAAGTTAGAGTTTAATTACATGGACATGGCATACACGGAGAATATGAATCGTTTGATAATATAATGAACATTGTTTATTATAGTTATGAGAATTTTTAAAGTTATTAATGAGGTTAGTATTTCCATAAGTTCCATAAATATTGTTTATTATGGTCGTGAATTTTTAAAACTTATTAAAATTGTGTCAAAATCTATCATAAATTTCATGAACATTATTTATTCCTATAATGAATTTTCTATCACGAACATTCAATTTTTAAATCATGAATTTCAATTGTACGATCTTTCTATCCTATCATAACCTTCAAATTTTATTCAAATTTTTATAAACATTATTTATTCATATCATGAACTTTCTACCATGAACTGTCTATCATGAACATTCAAATTTTCTTTTGGAAAAAAAATCTTAGTTTTGATTATATCAGGATCGAAAATTCGGATTCTTTCTTGCCCCCAATTTCTTCCCTTTCTCAGTTTTGGTCATGACAATATATTTGGCAATCGTAATTGCTTAACTCTTTTAACTAATTCAAATCACATCATCTTATTTTAGGGTACTAAACATTATTAAGCCTGATGTAACTAAAACAAATTCATTTTTATACCCATTGATCCGCTATGGTTTTTTTTTTTTTTTTTTTGAAATTTATATTATACGGGAGAGAATTAATGTTTCCCGCGCAAGCGTGGATATATAATAGGTTGTGCTAGGCATATTACAATATTTTTAGTAGTACAGTACAATAATATTCACTACTAATATTTTTATTAAAAAATCTTACTAACTAACTGGGCTCAAATGTAACCCAATACTCTTCCTGGCTTCGGCCTAATAATGGCCTTGGAGGATAAAAACCCAAGAATGCAGGGCTCGGCAATGTAATTTGTGGTAAGCCATTCATAATCATCATCATCAACTTCATAATACTATCAAATAGTACTACTATGGAAACGTCGAGAATTTGGATTACGGAAGAGAACAGAAGAGCAGTGGTGGTTATGGCGGCTCCGGAATACGACGACATCCAAACAGTAACAACGGCGCTGAATGAATTGCCTTCATCGTTGTCGTCGAGCCGGGGCGGCGGCGGCTTTAATGTCAACAACTGAGGAGGCTGAGGAATCAAAATTCAAATCATCCTCAGCAGATCGGGAGGAAGAGGAAGGGAGTTTGTGTGGAGTCGGATGAAGATGCCTCGTTGGAGGAGGAGGAGGAGGAGGATATGATGGAAGTGGTGGTGAATGAGGATGACCCGGAGGCGACGTTGGAGATTCGTGATGATAATTACTATCTAGTGAGCCAGAGCCACCGTCGTCCCAGCGAGTGGAGAGATCCGGAGGTTTGGGAGAAGTACTGGCAAGAGATGCACGATTCTCAGGTTTTGTAATTACTTCATCATCTACACTTTCAATTTACTCATTAATCCATCAAATTTGTTCTGTTTTAATTGTCAATAATCGTGTTCGAATTGTTCTTCTATATCTAATTGGGGCTCCCCTTCCTTTATGATCTGGTTAGGGATACGAGGTGCGAACTAATCTGGATATAACCTTTATAGCACAAATCATGCCCTGGGATTTCAAAGAAGGGGGTGAGATCTTACCGTTTTTCCATGAGATATGTGAGGATTGCATTCAACATTACAACGATAATCACGAGGTAGGCTAGCTGTTTTGACTCTGAATTTATATAATTCTTGCTTTGATTTTGTTGCTTGTGGTTGATTGATTGATGTCCTTAGTCTATTTCGTTTTTTCCACTTGTAATTGGTAATTAACTTTATGATGGTTCGGTCTCTGTTCTGTGTAGGGAAGGAAATACAGGGAGTATGCTAACGTTGTTGACTATGCATGTATCTTGTAATCCCGAGACTATGCGGAAACTGTATTTCATTGCCTTCCAAGCTGATCCAGTTGATGATTATGATGATGATGGTTCTAGCTTTTCCGAAACCTTTCGAGCTCAGTATTTTGTCTGGTAGAACTGATAGAAGAGAGGGAGGTGCATGGTGCTTTGCGAATTGAAAAAGCGTGCTCGACGCTGAAAGGCCAGCAGAATGCCCTCTTCCTTGCTGGCGGGGGTGACTGTGCAGGATTTTGAGCTTCGAGGAATCAATCTGACAATTTGGTGAGTTATATTAGTAGTATTGTTGACTCCCCAGGAACTTATTTCAAGCAGTAGGGAGCTCTATCCATTTTCGGCTGTGGAGATTGGTTTGTCTAGTTAATTGACTCTTTGTTAGTGATTGTGGCTATTATAAACTACTAGTACTTTAGATCAACGTGATTAACTTCTGATGAGACTATTAGGTATTGGCATTACACATAATTTGTGCGTGACTTTTGTTAAACCTATTCACTTAATCCCAACATTCCTTGTGAAAAAGTTTCTGCAGAAGACAGAGATGTCGAAAACAAAAACACGTTTTCGAATGTATTGATGTTTTTGCAAATGAGATGAATCATGCATATATGATATATGATGACAGCCTCTGTTCGATCTCTGTTACTAGATTCTCAACAACTTTACTAAAATATCTGTGATCAATTCGCCCTCAACTTGCTATGGATGAATGGGAGGCTAAAACCTCGAAAAGGGGATATGTTTGATGGTGGAGCCTAAAAGGTAAGAAGAGACTGGTGTGTCACTGTTTTGGAGCCCTTAGAATATCTTTAAATTGTAGGATAGATCACTTGGAAAGATAATTTCCAAGTGTTTGGCTGTTTGAAAGGATTCATCTTCTAAAGACCAGTTTGGCTAGCTGTCTGCATCTTATCCACTTCATCTCTTGTGCCTTAGTTCTTCTATTCTATCCGAATAGCTTTTCTCCTCGTCTTATTAAAGCTGTTGATTTTGAACTATTTTGATGGTCAAAATTTCTTGTATTTTCTAATGTGTATCATATTATTATACTCCTTCGTCCAGTTTGAGTTTTCATTTCTAGTTCAAATTGTACTAAAAGTAAAATATCAAACTAGATAATAATTATAGGACAGAAGGAGTACTATAAAGATACGAGAAGAAATCGAGAATTAATTATTCTGATGAAGAAGATATTTTTTTATTTTGCTTGTTAATTGTTAACATGGTTTGACTTCATTTTAATACTTTATCTGTTCGTCCCAAATAAGAGTCATACTTGTTGGGCATAGTAGTTTTATAAATATGACAATAACGTAAATTATAAAGATAATTGACATAACATTTCCAAAACTATTTTTGGGATTGAGGGGCATATGGCCTCATTTTTTGTTTTGGTGGAAAAAAAGGCTTGCAGAGTTACGATGAAAATGAAATGTATGGCCAAGAAAAAATTGGGTACTAAAGAAAAGGCATAAAAGCGCGCCTTTTTTTCTTGTTCGGGAAGGAAATAAAAGAGAAAAAAAAAAGGTAAAAGGCCCTGTTCTTTCTTTTTTGTGCAGCTGCAAAAGGAACAAAAATAAAAATTGTGAGAGTGACAAAGTTGATTCTTTAATTTGTGTAACCGTAGTTTTTTTTCCCTAGATTTCCCTTTCCTCCATACTCTTGTAATTCAAAATAAATATATCTTGACTCCCAAAAGGGACCTATCCGGCTCGAATCCGAATTAATTGAAGCAATTATTTTAAACACCGGGTGCGTAATATACCAATATATACTAGAACTCGACTAAGTCCCAAACTGAAGATTGGGTATACCGAACTATTCAGAAGACAAAGATTTGTTCATCAATAGCGACCTAACTAGCAAGAGGTTTGTCAAAACATTGTAACAAATAATAGACAGATTTGATCAGAAAACAGCAATCTGTTATTTCCATGGAATAAACAGCTAAATATCAATCATTTCTCTGAGAGAAAATTCCAAATGCTATAAGACAAGAAAACCCAGTTTGGTCTCCGCAGGCTGCAGCAATGCCTTACGTCCTCCTCGTATATTTGTACGAGTCTCCGTTTGGAAATTTAATAAAACGAAAAAAAATGAATGTCAAATAACAAAATTATTGTAATTCATTATAACTATGAACATATATCAACATAATATATGAGTCTCCATCTGGAAATTTAATAAAACGAAAAAGTGAATGTCAAATGGCAAAATTATCGTATCATATCCATTATAACCATCAACATAAGATTTAGAGATGATCGTGTTTTTCTTTTTTTTATGCATCATATGAAAGACTAACTTATTTACTGTCTCAGTGATTTTCCTTTTAAAAAATATGTCAAAAGAAAGACAAAAGGGATTGATGAGAGAATGGGCATAAAGGTTTCCAATGTGGCCACTAAGGGAATCCCAATGGTTCTTTTTCCTTGCAAGTAATTTTTTTTAAAAAAATACATTTTTGTTTCTTTCAAGTGATCTTTTAAATTCATTATTGAAGTATGATTACATGAAAAAAAATGATTAGAAAATATTCATGCAATATACGACATTTTCTTCCAAGGTGACAATTATGTGGGGAAGTCTTTAATAAGACCTTTTCTTTTTTGATCAATCTATAAGAATTCGAATGGCAAGTTTTTTCACTCATCTTTCGATATCGAAATAGTTCTTATGATTTTTTTCCTTCAATTTACCCTATATTGTTTCAAAATACTCATAATACAATTAACTTTTAATAGTTAAGAGTGTTTATTGATCCAAAGAAAAAAGAGAAAAAAGAGAAAAAAAAAAAGAAAAAAAGAAAAAGAAGAAGAAAACACTCTGATTTTTAGTGATAGCCGGCTGAAGATCAGTAGAAGCAAAATCTCCAGAGCCAGACCTTTCATTAAAACTGAAGGTTTTCCTATGGTCTTATCTAATTTATTTCCACATTTATATTTTCAGACAAATGGGCACGGTTCTGTTCTGCTACATGCTTTCAATTAATGCTATTTTAATACTCTCTCATCCTTTTTAAGTTTTTATAGGCACAAAGATCAACAAAACTCGGTAGTACTATGTTTATTTTGTTTCTTTAGCGTGCATTTTTAGATGTTTTTTCAATTGGAAATAAAATTATGTTAGAAATATAAAAAAGTATAATGAGTTAGGACAGTTATTATTAAAATAATCTGAAAAAATCATCAATAACATGTATTTTATAAATAAGAAGATCGAGGAGAGATTATGAATTACTTAAATTTTTTATACATGCATTATTAAGAAATAAATGTTGGGATTAAGAGATAAACAACTTGTTCTCTCTTAAACAAATTGTATAAACAAATCATTGTTTCTAGCCATGTGCAAGAATAGTGCAATGAACAGATAATTGTGTAGAAATTATTGACCCGGAAATAAGTTTTATGGAGTTGAATAAGGATTAGTCACGGAGCTAATTTCTGTTTCTTTTGGTTCTTATACCAAAATTTTTGAGGCTCTAAAAAAGACAAATGCCAGACCGCATTGTGTACAGAATAAATCAGTTTCAAGTTTCAATCTTTACTAATCAAGAAGGAAAAAATGGAAAAAATGAGATTTATAGATACACTCCGCAAAAGTTATAGATTCAATATATCTCTTGATTGATTTCTTTAGTCGTTTATGTTTATTTAAATAACACTCGTATGAATCAAAGCCTGCAAATTAAAATAACGGAGACATACACTCTAGTCACTATCGCTATCGTCCACTAAAAAAAGTTCAAAATACTTGTACATGTTACATAGCAACTTTTAACTAGTAGGGTGTGTGTTCCCCTCCTGTATAGTGGGAGATCCAATTGATAGTCTTAACTCTTGTTTAATTAATCATATGATATGATCCCTCCCGTTATAAATATAAGATATTTTGATTTGTCTAAGTTTCATCTGATACGTATTTTTTAATCAACTAGGAAACTATAGTGAGAAATCACTGTAACACTTTCAAAAATTATTACTAAACATTTCTGTTCCAAAATTATGCCTCAGATCGAAAACCACTTTTAGTTCAATTATCATAGTAAAAAGTTACTTTATCCAAACTGAATGGTAAAAAACATCTCAGCTATCAGCTCTCAGCTCTCAGCTCTCCCCAGGGGTCATCAACCTTAATAAAAAAATATAAAAGAGGTGCCAAAAGAAGCAATGCATGTGGACTATTAAGTCTAAACTGTTGGGTAGCGCCAGCAAAATCTGGAAAAATATGACAACAGGAAACCAGCAATTGGGCGACCAAAACAGCATTCATAACCCCTTTTCTCCAATCCCTCTCCCCAGTTCAATAAAACTCTGGATTTTACCTTGTAAAAAAGAAACCGAACAAAATGATCAGGCCTTCACGTGGTTGCCATAACCTTTTGGCTTTCTAATTGGAGGGATGGCCTCTAAACCTTCCCAATTCCATTCCCCCAAACATGGGTTCTCTCCTTATTGTTCCCAAATCCAATCCTTGTAACAAAACCAGAGCTGCCCACCGGACCACAGAAAAAATAACCCAGTTTTTGCTCCTTTTTTCCAGGTGGGTCTTTTACTCTTTCCTTAAAGCTTGCATTTTTATTTCTATTCTTATCCTTTTGCCAGTGGGATATATTATATTTTATTGTTTCTTTATTCTGAATTGATTTCTAATTTTGTTGTGACTCACGGGTGTCAAATCAAGATCGCAATTTTCTTTTATGCTCATTTGTTTATGTGGGATGAACTGCTACATTTTAACTATGTTTAGTAAGGAACAGTCCTTTCAAGTTGACTTACCCTTTCCATTTATAAACACGAAATCTTTATACTCCCTCATATGTATCATGTTTGTATTCTTCGGGAAGTGTTCAGACGTTTTGGAATAATCTTTATTTTAATTAATAAAAAAATAATTGCAGGGCCTAACTGAGCCGCAGTATGAGCTGAACTTGAGTTGGGTCGTGGTCCCAATTTCGCCCTTGAAGGAATCAGAAAGGCGGTGATCGAGACCTTGGGAGGTATGGAAGAGCCGAACTTTCCAGTTTATGGGGTTTAATTGTGGTGGGATTTCCATGGTTTTTGTCAATTTTTCTGACTGCTGATTCTTTGGGCTCTGTTGGGTTCACTCATCCATCCAAGATTCATTTCTTTCCGGAGCTTACTTCTATTATTGTGCTCTTTATCTGAAAGCTGTGATTAGGGTCACATTCTGTTCAATTAGTGTCTTAAGCTAGACACAGGATAAGAAGAAGAAACCCTTTTTTCCATTTTGTGAGTTGGGTTCCTTTCTTCGTCTTTGGTACTTTTATCTGCTGCTTTGTTTTGTTTCTGTTATGAAGGTCGTCACTTTTTAAGCTACCTCATCAACTTGGCTATTCATGATTTTTCTTGGTGCAGTTTGCAGCTTTTTTAATAATGTCTTTTTGATCTGAAGATACTAACATAAGAAGGAAGGGATAATAATGATTTTGAGCTTATAGGTTTTCTAGTCTTTTTGTTTTCCATGTGTGTGTTTGAGTCAGATATGGCTGCTAGCTTAGTTGTTGGATTCTATATTTCTATTGCTTTAGAGACTGTCTAGATGAAACCCAACTTCATCTTCTCCATTTTGCTGCAGTTAGTCTCTGCGTATCCTAGAAGCTTAAGATATTGAGTTGTGGATGTATATTTGGGGCTCCTTTACGGGTAGTTTCGGCCACTTCTCCTCTTGTTAAAAGCAGTGTAGAGGAAGGATGCTGGATTTCACTTGTTTGTATGTGGATGTCCTTGTTTCTGCAAATGGGATGGAGTGAAACCTTGCCTTTGCTTCTGATGAACCTGATAATGGAATTTTTTGGACAATTTGACCTTATGATTTGTTAGATTCTGTGTCTTGGTATCATCTCTCAGACCAAAGCTTAACTTCTTTTGTCAATTGTGCCAGTACCTTCAGTAAAAGTAGAATTTTTACAGAAATATTAAAGGATTTTTTGCATAGTCTTGTTCATTTTGAACCTTTGAACTTTTTGTCTTAGTTTTAATGTCTACAATTTCACTGGTTTGGCATAACTGCCGATGGATGTTTATGTTGCAGAATCTGACACAATTCTTTGTTTCTCTGCCTCTATTCTTGTTGTTCGTCCAGATTTAAGCTAAAATGTCATCTTCAAGGCCTAGTCAGTCTTCTACTAGTTCAGCAAGATCTAGACACAGTGCCCGCATCATTGCACAGACCTCCATAGATGCCAAGCTTCATGCTGATTTTGAAGAATCCGGTAGTTCCTTCGATTATTCAAGTTCAGTGCGTATAAACAAAGAACCTGGCGTTGATCAGAGACCCAGATCTGACAGAGTAACTACAGCTTACCTTCATCAAATACAGAAAGGAAAATTTATCCAGCCATTTGGATGTTTGCTGGCCTTGGATGAGAAAACTTTCAAAGTCATTGCTTACAGTGAGAATGCTCCTGAGATGCTGACAATGGTCAGCCATGCTGTTCCCAGTGTTGGTGATCATCCAGCCATTGGCATTGGAACTGATATCAGAAGCATTTTTACCAGTCCTAGTGCTGCAGCATTGCATAAAGCTCTAGGGTTTGGGGAGGTTTCTCTTTTAAATCCTATATTAGTTCACTGCAAAACTTCTGGGAAGCCCTTTTATGCCATTGTCCACAGGGTAACAGGCAGCTTAGTTGTTGATTTTGAACCTGTGAAGCCTTATGAAGTTCCCATGACTGCTGCTGGTGCCTTGCAGTCGTATAAACTCGCTGCGAAAGCTATTACACGCCTGCAGTCCTTGCCCAGCGGTAGCTTGAGTAGACTTTGTGATGCAATGGTTCAAGAGGTTTTTGAACTTACTGGTTATGACAGAGTGATGGCATATAAATTTCATGATGACGACCATGGAGAGGTGATAGCGGAAGTTACAAAACCAGGCCTGGAGCCTTATTTGGGTTTGCACTATCCTGCAACTGATATTCCTCAGGCTGCACGATTTTTGTTCATGAAAAATAAAGTACGCATGATATGTGATTGCCGAGCGAAGCACGTTAAAGTCATTCCCGATCAGAAGCTTCCTTTTGATCTTACTCTGTGCGGATCCACACTCAGGGCCCCTCATACTTGTCATTTGCAATATATGGAGAACATGAATTCAATTGCATCTTTGGTGTTGGCAGTTGTAACAAATGATGAAGATGATGAAGGAGATGGCCCTGAATCTACGGAGCCTCAGAAAAGAAAAAAGCTGTGGGGTTTGGTTGTGTGCCACAATACAAGTCCAAGGTTTGTTCCGTTCCCTCTTCGATATGCCTGTGAGTTCCTCGCTCAAGTGTTCGCTATTCACGTCAACAAGGAGTTGGAATTGGAAAATCAGATTGTTGAGAAGAACATTCTGAAGACACAAACACTATTGTGTGATATGCTGTTGCGAGATTCACCTTGGGGCATTGTGTCCCAGAGCCCAAACATAATGGACCTTGTCAAATGTGATGGTGCGGCTCTTGTGTACCAGAATCAGATACACAAAATGGGATTAACTCCAACAGATCTTCAGCTGAATGAAATAATATCCTGGCTTTCTGAGTATCATATGGACTCTACTGGTCTGAGTACAGACAGTTTGTATGATGCGGGGTTTCCTGGGGCGCTTGCTCTTGGCAATGTAGTTTGTGGTATGGCAGCTGTGAGAATATCTGAAAGGGATTGGCTCTTTTGGTTTAGATCACACACTGCTGCTGAGATTCGATGGGGTGGTGAAAAGCATGAAGTAGGCAAAGAAGATGATGGTAGGGAGATGCATCCAAGATCTTCATTCAAAGCATTCTTGGAAGTTGTTAAGAGGAGGAGTATACCTTGGAAGGATTATGAAATGGATGCTATCCACTCTTTGCAGCTTATTCTGAGAAACGCTGCCAAGGAAGATGGAAAAACCAAGTCTGATACTCCAACTATCAATGCAAAACTAAATGACCTTCGTATCGATGGATTGCAGGAATTAGAAGCAGTTACTTCTGAAATGGTTCGTCTGATTGAGACAGCCTCTGTTCCAATATTGGCAGTTGATGTGGATGGGGTGGTTAATGGTTGGAACACCAAGATCGCTAATTTAACTGGTCTTCCTGTTGAGGAAGCAATTGGGAGGCAGTTTCTTACTCTCGTGGAAGATTCATCAGTTGAAGGAGTCAATAAGATGCTGGAATTGGCATTGCTGGGTACGTCTTTGATTAAAATGCTTAAACACTATTCAATTTGGATTCGAAATGGCTGTTAATTTTAATCTCTTAATGTATACTAACAGTAGTTGAACTTTATTTTATCAGGAAAGGAAGAACACAATGTGCAGTTTGAGATTAGAACACATGGATCAAAGATGGAAGCCGGTCCTGTTAGCTTGATCGTGAATGCCTGTTCAAGTAGGGACATAAGAGGAAATGTAGTTGGTGTATGTTTTGTTGCCCAGGACATAACAGGACAGAAGACCATGATGGACAAGTTCACACGAATAGAAGGTGATTACAGAGCTATTATTCAGAATCCCAACCCCCTGATTCCTCCAATATTTGGGACAGATGAATTTGGCTGGTGTTCTGAGTGGAACTCTGCTATGATGAAACTATCTGGTTGGCACCGAGAGGAGGTCATTGATAAGATGCTTCTTGGTGAGGTTTTTGGAACTCATGCTGCTTGTTGCCGGCTCAGGAATCAGGAAGCTTTTGTAAAACTTGGTATTTTACTCAACAATGCTATCAGTGGTCAAGAATCTGAAAAGATTCCTTTTGGTTTCTTTGCACGGAATGGAAAGTATGTTGAGTGCCTGCTCTGCGTGAGCAAAAAGGTGGACAGAGAGGGTGCTATTACTGGAATTTTTGGTTTCTTGCAGCTAGCTAGTCCCGAGCTGCAGCAGGCGCTTCACGTTCAAAGGCTATCGGAGGAAACAGCATCAAAAAGGTTGAAGGTTCTAGCTTACATAAGAAGGCAGATAAAAAATCCACTATCTGGAATTATTTTCTCACGGAAGATGTTGGAGGGTACTAATTTGGGAGACGACCAAAGAAATATTCTGAGGACCAGTGCCCAGTGCCAGCGTCAACTCAACAAGATCCTGGATGACACTGATCTGGATTCCATAATTGAAGGGTATTACAAAAGATTCATTTGCTCATGTTCAATCTTGGACTGAGCTAATCTTGGCTGTTCTATGATTAGAGCATTCAATTATCGATGTCTATTCTTTCTTTTTTTTTTTTCCTTTTTTTTCAATCAGATGTTTTCTTTTTTAACAGTTACTTGGATCTGGAAATGATGGAGTTCAAGCTACATGAAGTTCTGGTTGCGTCAATTAGTCAAGTCATGATGAAAAGCACCGTAAAGGGTGTTATGATAGCAAATAATTTGTCTGAAACTCTTGTGAATGAAACACTGTATGGTGACAGTCTCAGGCTTCAACAAGTTTTAGCCAATTTTCTGTTGGTATCGGTGAATTCTACACCGAATGGAGGCCACCTGGCTATTGCAGGAAACTTGACAAAAGACCGATTAGGAGAGTCTGTTCAGCTTGCTCATTTGGAATTTAGGTATCAGAATTTCTCTGCAACTTGTTAACCTTTGGTAATTTTTGGGAAATTCTTCCTAAATGAAATTTGGAGGTTTTTTCGAGGTTCCTTTTGCTACAAAACCTTACATAAATCTGTCTGCTGTATCTTTCTGTCCTTATTGGAAATGAATGGACAACCCTTTCATTTAATCTATTGTTATGTCCGAGTGCAGGATAACGCATTCTGGTGGGGTTCCAGAGGATTTGTTGAATGAAATGTTCGGCAACAATGAAGAAGCTTCTGATGATGGTATTGGCCTACTTATCAGCAGAAAGCTGGTGAAACTTATGAATGGTGATGTACGGTATCTGAGGGAGGCAGGACAATCGACTTTTATAGTTTCACTTGAGCTTGCTGTTGGTTGCTAATAATAAGCCTTTCTGTGGCGTAATTGCATCTTTTAGGGCTCTAAAGATGCCATTAAAATGTGTACATCCAGAAGAGCCAATGAATTTATTTTCCTGTAATCTCAAAATTAGTCTGTGAGAGAATGTTTTTGGCTTTTCCCTTTTTTGTTGATGTTTTAGGGTTAGTCTTCTTATCTTGTCATCTTGTGTAGAAAATAAAGGTCATTTCTAGTTTTGTACTTGCTTCCCATGAAATCATCAGTACACCTCTGCCAGGGTATGTGTTCCTTCTTTTTGCAGCACTTCTATGGCATTAATGTGGTTAATGTAATTGTAACGTGTCTTTGGATCAAGCACACTCCGACATCCTCTTCCAATAACAAGAAGTAGAATATAATACCATATACTTTATTTACTAGTAAAAACCCACAATTACTAATTTACTATACCCTAAGACCAATATTCGACTTAGAATTGGTGAAATATGAAATCATTGTGCGGCAGAAACAGCAAACCACACTATGAAGAGGAGTTGCACTTCCATATGCAAGCAAATGTTTGCTTGGGAGGTTCCAGGTTGAATGCATCAATTCATCACATACTGGAGTTGGGAGAAAAGATGATGGGTCATAAAAATCCACCCCAGAACAGAAAAGTTGAATTATTTTGGATCATACTACTACTGTACTCCGTTCTTTCTATATCAACCTTTCATGGCAATACCAGCTGGAGCTGACGCAAATGAAGCAGATCAAAGTCTTACAACATACAACTGTAAATATGCCATTCTCACAGATGACACTAAATCCAAAACTTGGGGCAGCTCTCTATCCCTTCATAGAACAAACACCCGATTGCTAATTTCTCTCCAAAAAAAAGAAAAAAAGAAGGAAAAATATGAAGCAAGCATTCACTACAGTGGTAGTTTTCTAGTTTCATCACATACAAATCGCATAAACACCCAAAACCCCAACAGCTAAACATCCAGAACGACATCGATCTGCATCTACATCTGCATCTGCATCCGCATGCGCACCGTTGAGATCTTATCTACTTTACTTGCTTGCTTCTACCCTTCCTTTGCAACCTAGATTTTCTCTTTTCTTCCCTGCATTGAGTTTCAGAAAGATTAGATTTAGGCATGTCTGCATCTGATGCAATGAGATGCAGATCCAAGCACATCAGTAATACGACAATTCTTACTTCCTGTTCTTTCTGGTAGACTTCTTTTCCAAACTTGCTTTTCTCTTTGCTTCCTTAGACGCTAGTCTCCGCTCTCTCCTGTACAAAAGTTTAAGAGAGAAAATTAATAAGATGGATAGTATAAAAATAAATTTCACAAAGTGACGCGTTCATCCATTTGACGCAATACAAGGGTCATTTTACCTAGCTTCAGGAGTTTCCTCTTTTGGAGGGCCATCTATCCGCTTCCTCTTTTTAGTGCCTGTTGGGTTCACTTTGCCAACTCTAATAAATTTTTTGGGCAAATCCTCATTAACCTTCGTAACCATTTCCTTGGCGGGCTGTTGGGTATCTTCTTCCTCCTTGTCCATATTGCCATTTTCCACAGGCTCAGCATGTTGGTCCACCACCTCTTCGGGCACAATGGAAGTTGAAGGTGGTTTTGAATTGCTCATTTTCTTCAACTGCAACAGAAAATTAAAAACATAGGCTGAAAAAGGCTTTTACTGGGGAAAAATGTTACACATGAGCGAGCTAGACTGATGCTTCCGAAATCACAAATCTTCCAAAAACCAAATCTTCGACCCACAATATAACTAATGCAGGAAAAAAATGAACTGACATGACATAAAAACACCTCATCCTACTAACTGAGAGTATTAATTGGGCACGTACCTTTGCCACAAAAAACCCATCCATGTTGTTTGCATGTGGATAAAATCGTCTTGTTTTATTTAGAGACAGGTCAAATCGATGTTCCCTGAAACGAATAAACCTGCAGCAACAAAGTCTAGTTCTAAATTGATCTCAAAAGGGGAAAAAGGGGAAGTTTTACAATTTACCCATCCTTCACATTACCCTGGACGGCCAAATTCGAGTCCACAGTTTACAAGTTTAACATTCCTCTTCTTCAGGGCATAGTCTATCACTGCTTCATTCTGCAAAAAACAAATTTTATTAACAACAGCTCTAAGGTGTGCACTAAATATTGAAAAGCCAGATGCAGTCACGTACCTCAGCAACCATAATTGAACATGTGGAATAAACAATATATCCTCCTGATTTTGAGTTTGCATCAACCATGTCAATTGCTGCCAGTATCAGTTGCTGAAATGCAAGTAGAATGAGAATCAAACCACAGGAAGATAGATCAGACACGCAAAAAATGTTAAGTGCTATGATGCTGTGACCCAGTCAGGAGAGGATAAAACTTCAAATTGTGCGATTCATAAGACAAGAATATATACACACCCAAAAGGAAGTACCTTTTGTAGATGGGCACAATTTTGTATGTCAAGTGCAGTTTTCGAGGTTTTGACACTCTCGTCTTTGGATATAACCTGAACACAAATGAAGAACAACCAAAATTATTTTAAAGACACAAAAAGAAAAGAGCCGAATGATTAACACTGGGAGTATCATGTATAACGCCAAATCACATACCCCGGTTCCGCTGCAGGGTGCATCCAACAAAACTCTATCAACTGTGTTTTGACCGAGAACCTTGGGCAGCTGAAATGTATGTAATAAAAATAAATAAATAAAATGAGCCTTTCAGCAGCTGGACAGCCCCCAATTGCCGAACGAGATGCTTAGAGAGTATTACTGACTAAAGTATGGAAAACACAATAGAAATGCATTTCTCATGACATGGCTTCCCATACATGAACAGTAGAATATATAAACCCTTGCTGAGACATAAACATACATCTAGGCACAAACACTCAAGTTCAAATGGAGAAGAATTGAAAGCAATATCTGCTTCTAGCTATTTCATTCAATTTAGTAACGTTTCATACAAAAATTAAAGAGAATGAGAAAGTGACGAGGAAATAGTTCTAACCTCTCTTCCATCGTAGTTGCAAACAATAGTATTAGTTACACCCATCCGATGTAAGTTTCCATTAAGAGACTTCAGTCTTGATGTATTCATCTCGTTTGCATAAATGATCCCTGTATTTTTAATTTAATTTTTTATACCCAAAAATTCAGAGGTAAGAAAACATGTAACCTTGTCTTGTTGATATAATATAATAATAATACATCATCATTAACATTGAAAGACATCAACACAACTAACAATAAAATGGGAACATATGGAGTTCAAAGAAAGTCCACAAAAGATAATTAATGTTGAGATAGCAAAGTAACAGGCTTTATTAGGCGAAACAGTAGGTTGCACGTGTCCTCATAAAAACCTGTTTGTTTGGTTTTTTGGATGGTTTTTTCAGATTATTTTAATAATAAATGTCCCATCCTAGCATACCTTTTACATTTCCAATACACCTTTTTACATTTCCAATACAAAAAACACCTAAAAACACACAATAAAAAAGCGAAACAAACATACTCACTAGTCAACAAATATGAAACAACAGAGAGAATACAAAAAGGAACGCTTCTCAATGGAGTTGCAGAATCATTGAGCAATAATTGAATGTTACAAAATGAGATAATGGCAGAATGAAAGCATACCACTATTTTTCATTAGTGCTGCAAGATAAGTTGTTTTACCACCAGGAGCAGCCCTACAAAATTATGAAGGACGTCAGAGCAATTTTACTAATAAGGTACAATGCACAAAATCATAAAAAGCATGTTATACTGATGTGTGTATCAACACAATGGGAAGACTTGAGATCAAATTATTATACTAAGGCTTTCCAAATGGTAAAGAATTTTCACGAACTGTAAAAGGGAAACTGGAGTTGAAGCTCCCTCCATTAATAAAAGTGAAACCAAAGGCAAGGGGAAAATAAAAACATGGGCAAAAAACAAAGATATGTAATCAAGATGATCACAGATTTACAGGCACTCACGCCATATCCACAACTCTTTCGTTTTCCTGAGGAGCAAGGGCCATTACAGGCAAGAAAGAACTTGAGCCTTGTAACTGTTAAGGAAATCTGATTAGCAGACAGTAATTGTTAGAAAGAAAATTTTCATAAAAATTAGATGGCTCCTAATCTCCTATGGGGGTTACCATGTAGTGACCAGCCATATATTCTGGAGTGGCACCGATTGGAACTTGTGAAGTGTAGACAACCAAGCCAACCTATGAAATGCAAGTAAAGTCTCATTGAGATCACGATTCTTAAAGCACATGATATATTAAATAACAAAAGTGCACTGAGTCAAGCACACATGGAAAGACTCTTACTTTTGACCATTTGCCCACTGGATCTAAGTTGACACCCCTGTTCAACAAAACCGCAGCCAAATCCCTCCTCCGAGTCTGTGTTGAAATCACAATTATGGTTTAACAGCATGCAAAATACAACAAGAAATTATACATTTGAAAAACAAAGCTCGACTTACTTTCAAGGTGTTTGCACGTAAACATATAGGCCGAGGCTTTTCAAAAGCTTCAATAAGTTCCATGAGCTCAGCAACAGGAAACATCTGCATCGAGCTTGCAAGTGATCAACAATGAGGAAAAGAAGACCAACTATATCTTCTGATTAAAAATTAAGAAAGAAAATAAACAAATCACCTCCATCAAAGTTTCAATAAGAAACTCATTATATCCATAATATGAACCTAAATCCATCTTAAGCTGATCTACATATTCTTTGCGTGACAATCCTCCCTGCCTCAACTCGCTGAAATTGGAGAGCACCCCAACAACTGCAATCATTTTCGGAGGTCAAGAGGCGGCTTGGGGAGATTAAATGGGACAGAAATCAATAGTGGAAAGGAAACTAACTTGAATTTATTCTCATCCGGAGATTCTCAAGATCAGGTGGCCCGCGAGCTTCTTCTTCAAGTTCCTACATTTAAATTTTAAAAGACAACAAATTTACTAATTTTTACTAATCTTCGCAAGCAAGATATATTATAACAAACCCAATGTGCAAAAAATAGAAGAAAAAAATAAAAAACAATCAACAAAGAAGTCCAAACCTCCTGGGTTGGCAGTCTGAACTCGTCATCTTTCTGTATAACGTTGCGCTTATGTTCCTCACCCGCTTCACGAATTACCCTGTTCTCCTCATCATCAATATTTTTCGACAGCTTCTCAATATCACCCACTTCATCCTGATCAGAATCTTCAGCTGAATCCTCTTCTACAAAAAATATACCAGAAAACGGCATTATAGCAGATAAAACACACACACACCAGAAAAAAACGTATTCATATGAATAGAATAAACTGTTATGAGTAAACCAAAAAAAACCAGAGGGATAAATAAACACCGACTAACCTAATTCTGAACTTCCTCCCAGAAAGTCGCCTTCACCTAATGGGTCATCGTCATCATCCTCCCCTGAGGAAACACCGGAATCCGATTCTCCTTCGCTACCTTGTTGTAATTCATCCTCCTCCTCCTCCTCCACTTCATCATCATAAATCTCATGCTCTTCTTCAGCTTCACTCTCACTCACCTCATCAGAATCACTCTCTACAATTTTCGGTTGCTCTTTCTTTTTCGGAGGAGATCCTGCTTCTTTCTTTTGCTTTTTCTTAGAACGTCCGGCCACCAACGGAAAACCCATTTCAGCGGCGGAGAATTATTAGGTCCAGGATATTGCAGGTAAAGTTTCAAGCGGGGCGGCTAAGGGTTTAAGAAACACAAAAGAAACAAAAGGGTTTTAAACTTTTTATTTAATTATGATTTGGTGTCTAAGTTTTTAAATATTTACAAAAGACCCCAATAAATTTACATAATGAAATTATGAAACTCGCAATCTGATTGGTTAATTCCTCGTAAAACCCTTGCCTCCAAAATTCCACGGACAAACTTCTTCCGCCACTGACGCAGTTATCGCCTCTCTCTCCCCGCCGTTGTTTTGGTAAAACCCTAACCATGGAATCGAAGCTTAGTTTTCCGGCGGATAGTCCACCTCTCGCCGTCATTGTGGCGGCCAAAATCGCCGGTGTGCCGTTATCTACTGACCCGACCTTGTCTTCCGGTTCTCCTCCCACTCTACTCCTCCCCAGCGGGTATGATTTGATTTGTATTTTCTCTTTTATTTATTTATTTATTTATTTGTTTATTCAATGTCGTTTGGTTGTGTAATGTCTCTGGAACAATTACAGATTGAAGCTTCAAGGACTAAATGTACTGCTGCGATACATCGGTCGTGCAGGAAACATTCCCAAATTCTACGATAGGGATGCGGTTGAGTCTAGCCAGGTGCCGATTGTTATTATATGATGGTTCTTGTGCTTTGCTTTTGCTTGTTGTATGGATATGAGTATTGATTTGTGTTAGTTTTTTGTTCTCCTGGTTCTTTTTCCCCCACCAGATTGACCAATGGATAGAATATGCGGCTGTTTTCGCTTCTGGTTCTGAGTTCGAAGGAGCATGTGGATATGTTGATGGGTATCTGCTCCAGCGCACATTCTTGGTTGGTGTTGATTTGTCAATTGCCGATGTAGCCATCTGGTCAGCTCTTGCAGGTATAATTCTTATGCACATCGCACCCTTGTTTAGCTTGATGCTCATTCTTGGGATCTACTTTAGGATTTCTTTGTGACTTGCTTAGTGGCCAATGATCATGATCCAGGCTGTGTACATCTCGTATTTTCAAGTGGAGAGATCTACTTGACATGTGTTCTTTATAGATTTTGAATTTTTGCTGAGGCCAGTTTTCATATCCTTCCATCTTTTTCTTCCAATGGATTGATCTGTAATGTGGTAGTGTTTGTAAATTTTTTATGTTGAACATGAAGACTTCAAAAAACAGGTTCATTCAACCTGTTTGTTTAAGGTGGTGAAGAAAGAATTGTCAATTAAAAGAAAATTAAGGTCACGTTGAGTTGCTCAACCCATAATAATACCCATTTTGTTTGCTATTAGTTTGTGCTTTTACTCCTTCAAGTGTTTGAGTTTAATGATTTACAAGCAAAATTACTATCACAAAAGGAGGATAAAAGTTAAAATAAGTTTATTGATCTGCACTGAATTAGTGTCCTCAGTTAAGAATTGTGAGTTTTTGTTTAGGTTTAACCAAGGTGAGGCTTCTTGGATGCCAGTTTCGTTTTCTACTGAACATGTATATCGTGGAGCATGTTATTTAGTTTTCCACGTCTTTCTTCACTTTTCTTTAGTTTCTTTAAGTTTCATTTTATTTCGATACATCTATGAGTCCTCAGAATAATCTCTTTACAGGAACTGGACAAAGATGGCAAAGTTTGCGAAACTCTAAAAAGTACCAGAACCTAGTTCGATGGTTTAATTCGATACATGCAGAATATGATGCTGTTCTGAGCAAAGTGACTGCAATGTATACTAGCAAAAAAGGTTTGGGGACACAAACTGTTTCAAAACCCAAAGAGCAACAGATTTCTAGTGCACAGTCCGGTAATGGGAACTCTGCTGTAAATGAAAAGGGAATTGGAGGGACCCGGCAAACTTTTGAAGTAAATCTTCCAGGGGCGGAGGTTGGAAAGGTACGGGTGCGCTTCGCTCCAGAGCCAAGCGGCTATCTTCACATTGGCCACTCAAAAGCGGCTCTCTTAAATAAGTATTTTGCCGAAAGGTACGAAGGGAAGCTGATTGTACGCTTTGATGATACAAATCCTGATAAAGAAAGCAGTGAATTTGTCGATAATCTTCTAAAAGATATAGATACGCTGGGGATCAAATATGAGACTGTTACATATACATCTGATTATTTTTCTGAGATGATGAAAAAGGCTGAGGATTTGATCCTTCAGGGTAAAGCGTATGTTGACAACACATCTCGTGAACAAATGCAGAAGGAACGGATGGATGGTATAGAATCCCGGTGTAGAAATAATTCAGTGGAGGAGAACCTTAGATTATGGAAAGAAATGGTTTCTGGATCTGAGGAAGGTTTGAAATGTTGTGTGAGAGGCAAATTAAACATGCAGGATCCAAACAAGTCCTTGAGGGATCCAGTATACTACCGCTGCAACCTCACTCCGCATCACAAGATCGGCTCCAAGTACAAAGTCTACCCCACATATGATTTTGCCTGTCCTTTTGTTGATGCTATTGAAGGTATCACGCATGCCCTTCGTTCCAGTGAGTATCATGATCGTAATGATCAATACCACTGGATTCAGAAGGATATGGGATTTCCAAAGGTCCACATATATGAATTCAGCCGGGTGAATTTGGTCTACACGCTTCTTAGCAAGCGTAAGTTGCTGTGGTTTGTCCAAAATGGAAAGGTTGATGGGTGGGATGATCCCCGCTTCCCTACTGTTCAAGGAATAGTACGTAGGGGACTGAAGATCGAAGCATTGATTCAGTTCATGCTGGAACAGGTAACGAAGTTCAGTATTGGAATTTTACTGCACTACTATGTCCAAGTTAAAATGACACCAAGTCTCCATGAGTGCCATATATTAGCTTTTGATAATGCTGCTTCCTTGGTTTACAACTTTTAGTTATCTGCCAAACTTTTACCATGTATTTTATCTTTTCTTTCGATGCTTGCCGATGCTTATCCTATTAGTATTAGATCACCATATTTGTTTCACTAACGGAGAAGGGGGTTGGGGTGGTGTAAAAGAGGAATAGTTATACTGCAATAGTATGTCCAAGTTAAAATGGCGTCAATTTCCATGGGTCCCATATATTAGCTGTTGATAATGCAGCTTCCTTGGTTTACAATTTTTAGTTTTCTGCTGCGAATCTACAATCTTTGTGGGTTTTTATTCTTAATGTCTTGATGCTTGCTTATGCTTATCATTATTGGCTCAGCATATTGTACTGCTAGTGAGGGGCTTGGAATGGTGTACATAGGAAGAAATGGTTTATTATGTGATCTAATGCACCATATGAAGCTATTTTATGCCTAACACAATCTGTTTCTGGAAAACTTTCAGGGGGCGTCAAAGAATCTCAATCTTATGGAATGGGATAAACTTTGGGCCATCAATAAAAAAATTATCGATCCAGTGTGTCCCAGGCATACGGCAATTACTGAACACAGAAGAGTTTTGTTGACACTGACAAATGGCCCCGAGGATTCTTTTGTCAGGATCATACCTAAGCATAAAAAGTTTGAAGGTGCAGGTGACAAAGCTACTACTTACATGAGGAGAATATGGATTGAACAAGAGGATGCACAATTGATCTCCGCCAATGAGGAAGTGACCTTGATGGATTGGGGAAATGCCGTGATAAACCAGATTGAGAAGGATCAGGAGGGCTATGTGACCCAACTTACCGGGGTTTTGCATCTTGAGGGGTCTGTTAAGACCACAAAGTTGAAGCTGACATGGTTGCCAGATAGCAACGAGCTTGTTACTCTCTCATTGGTTGATTTTGATTACTTGATCACAAAGAAGAAGGTAAGAACTCGTTAAATCCATTCGATTATGTGGTATCTAAACCTTTTCCTTGGATAAAAACTAAAATGTATTACCAAGTACGCTGTTCTTACTAATGACATCAGGTCTTCTTGTTATATTGTATTGTTGGCTTGGGAATTTGCAAGTATATGTTCTGAATATTCATGTCCCCGGAAAAATTGCATTTGTATCATACTCTAGCATGCCATATATAATTACTGGGGATGGAGATTTTAGCATATTAGGCCTTCAATTTCTGAAGACAAATCCGAGGGATCGTGAATCAAGTTTGCTCTTGTATTCCTCGGGTTGTGATTTACTTCAACAATTTTACTCCCCCAAAACTAAACAAAACAAAGCAAGAAAATGTTTTATGCATTGTCTTCATTTCTCCCGCTCTAAAACCCTCTGGTTCTTGCATTAGCATTGTGCAGCCTTTTCAGATGGGCATCCAATTAATGGTGTACTTCAGCACCTGATATCATATAACCACTGAGAGATTGATCTTTATGCAACATTTTTCCATGAGTTCAATTTACTTTGTGATAATCTTCTACTTCATTTTCTACTCTGTCTTAAGTTTTCTAGACTACCCATGTCAGCTCAATGTTGTGCGTTTCATATTTTTGTGTGTGGTTTCATCAACTCGTGCTTAATTTCTTTAATATCCTGCTTGAATAGTTTTGCTGAATTTTCACTGAACTGTAGCTGGACTTGAGTTTCTGTTCCGTTTGATTTTGAATTTTAGCTCGAGGAGGATGAGGATTTTGTGGATGTTGTCAATCCATGCACCAAAATGGAGACCGCTGCACTTGGGGACTCCAACATGAGGAACTTGCAGCGTGGTGACATAATTCAGCTGGAGAGAAAAGGGTACTACAGATGCGATGTCCCCTTGATAAGAACATCCAAGCCCATAGTTCTGTTTGCTATCCCAGATGGCAAACAGACGTCAGTAATGAAGTTCAAAAACACATAATTCAAACATCTTTTTTTGTGTATTAATATTTTGTGCAATTGTAGACGATAATTGCGACATGTATTTTGCCCTTGTTCAATGCACATGACAATCGAGATTTAACTTCAGGATTCTCTAACTTTCATCAATTGCTACTGTCGCTCTAGCTTTTGCCTAATTTATGAACCTGTGGAAGGATTTGAGATGGTTTCGGATTTCCCTTTTGGGTTTTTAGCTTTTGGTAAGTTTCCTTGTCGATTCAATCCTTCGGTCACAAGCTTTTCGGCAGCCAGTCTTGACTTTGGTTTGAGATATAAACCTTTATTAAACTTTTGAACAAGTCCTCCTCAGAGATGCCCTGATATAGTCGGTGTGGTAGTGAGTTGGATGAACTTTTATCTTTGCGCAAATGTGGGAGAACCTACTGCGCCCTTGAAAAAGGATGTTTACTTCCCCAAAAGGGAACTTTCTCGATTCGAACCTTACAGATATTTACTTCCTATTACGAAACTTACTCAGCTCCAACTCAAAGTAGTCGAGGCGATGATTTTGGTAGCATAATGTATAAAGAACACCTAAAATTCTGATAATTTTAATAAAGCTACGATGTAAGGCTTACCCGTGTGGAAGAAACTGGGAATGGTAGGATCTGGATGAAAGTAACTGACGACCACATCTTGGGACCAAAGGTTGAACCCTGTGTCGCACGTTTGTGTAATTCCTAAGTAAAATCAAGACTTGTATTTGTTTCGCTTTCGCTTGTATTCAGGAATTGGTAGACTCTAAGCGCAAGCTTTGAACATTTAACTTGACATGGAATTAGAAGAAAATCAAAAAGACAATAAATGTAGATGATGCACCCACAACTTGATGCATTTGATGAAATGAAGTAGCGGCAAATTGCGATCAGGTGCATGTTAGTTTCTACCTCATATCATTAAATATTTTTACCCACTATATAACTACTCTTCTATTTAATAATTTTCTGATCGAATATTATGCAGTGATCGTGCGGCAACCATTTAATTATAATCCACACACCATTCATGGTTTGCTTATTCCTTGAAGATTGGTTTGCTTATGAGCTCAAAAAAAAAAAAAAAAAAGGGAATAATACTACAAATAATCATGATGGTATAAATCAATTATTACAAAAGTTGATGAAGTGGCTTCAAAGCAGCTATACATGTAAAAATGTAAACTCATTTCAGCATTCTTGAATTTGCTTCTAAGTATCTGGGCAAAAAATTAACACCCTTTTTTGCCTTAAAACTTATTACAGTTGTTAGAAAAGAAACAAACAATAGTCTAATGTTGATTTCTGTCTTTTGGTAATTGCTTGGGACAACAAACAACCTCAACAAATCCAGCACTTGATTGAGGTAAGCCTAAGTAAGTCATCATAATTAATATGACTTTTCTGTTTAAGTTACTTGTCATTCTTAATTGGTGTCCAATTCCAACAACTAAGAATAAATGAATAATTAGTCACCTAATTGGGATAATATTTGACTTGATCAATAATACTATGTCTCGTAGCAAGAACAATTTTGATATTGTATTCTTAGTCAAATGCCACCAGGGTATCATACTTGGGAATATCCCTCAAATCATAAGAGGTGCAATCGATCTTATCTTATTTATTACTTCCTCCATTCTAAAATTATTGTTCAATTGGAACAATTATTTTGGGACGAGGTAATACTGTATATTAGTTTGTCTTGTTAGTTTAAGATTAGAGTTTATACTAACATTTATGAATAACTGTACTTGTCTTACTAATGAAAGACGATGACAGAACTATAAAACAACAAATGGGACCCCAAAAAAAATAATAATAAATGAGAACACAATTCCACAGTTTATTGGAATGATGAAGAGGGACACCAAAACCATATAACTTACAACAACATGAGATCTTCTCATTGGACACTAATTAAAAAAAGCAAGAAGAAAATAGAACAACAAAGTGTGAATATGAAACCAAATGATCAATAAATCTCTGTTCCCTCTTCCTTTTTTTTTTTTTTTTTGTGTGTGTGTAATGTGGGAAATGTTCAGCCAATCAAACACGAATTAGACCCCAGAATGTCTTAGCTGTTGTTATTCAAAGTGTATGAGGAGTTGGATCATCTACTTCTTGGGTGCAAGCCTGGACTTGATCTTCTCAATTTCTTTGGTACCAACTTGGAATGTGATGGTCAAAACATTGTCAGGAACTGGTGGAGTAGCTGCAAACAATGCAGTTGCAACCTGTTGTGTTCCCGGAAGCTGGCTGTTGAATCCGGCGATCACGGCTGCCGGGTACTTGCCATTGTTCTTCTGGAAATGGATTAGGCCTCTAGGGAATGTGAACACTTCACCTTTCTTAATGGTCTTGGTGAACAAAACTCTCTCTGTGGTGATGAACCCAACTTCCAATTCACCTTCAAGAACAAAGATGATTTCGGTGGCTCTTGGGTGGGTGTGAGGCGGGTTAATGCCCCCGGGAGCGTAGTCAATCCGGGCCATGGAGACTCCTAAGGTGTTGAGGCCAGGGATTTGGTTCACATTTGCTGGAGTTACCATTGAACCCAGGGTATTGTTGGTGGAACCAGGGTTGACAAGGGCTACTGTGAAGAAGTCATCAGCTGTTACATTATCCTTGCATATGAATCCATTCACCTTGGGTTTACCTGTTGTTGATCAATGATCATCAACACACCAAAACACTATGATTTCAGTAAAATGTAATTAAACTACATTCATTCAATCTTCATCAATAAGGAAGGTTTTTCTTGAATGATTAAGATGGTAAGTAATGTCATGATGTTGAGATACTACTAATCCTGTTTTTGCAAGCTAACTGCATTCATCATACATTATGTGACCAAACATAATGGAGGAGCAATATTTCACTTGTCTCTAATTGTCAGTTTTATCTTATATTAGACGAAGATCCATATAGTCGACCTCAAATAATGAGATAATAGTACAAGCGTCATTGATGTTGATTTGGCAAACAAGTTGTACTTGTGAACATAATTAAATAGGTACATGAATTTTTGACTCCAAGTTGGCTGCTAAGAAACGTCATTGGAGATTGAACTATCCTCTCTAATTGGTGATTTGATTTTAAGTTTGAACCATTCTCATGACCATTATTAAAGACAGGAAGAATGACCAAAAAAAAAACATGAGAAAAGTGGAAGACATTAAAGACAAGCAGAGACATTAATTCAACCAACAACAACAACAACCAAAGACCCTTCCTTCATAATGCTTGCCATCAAGAAAAAACAATTATGAACAATTAATTCAAACCCACAAGAAATTTATTACCAAAAAAAAAAAACAAAATAAAAACAAAACAAAGTACAAGAAGAAGATTAAAGGTTTCAGACAGCAGAGTCAAAGTTAGTACCTTTAGTATCAGCAACGCAGATATCTTGAAGCATGTCCGGATCTGAAGCAGAAACCAGGTTGTTGAAGCTAATGGCTACAAATCCCAGAAGCATTATCATCAGAAACTTCTCACCCAGAGCAGCCATACTGAAAGTTTGTTACAGAACAAAACTAAAAAGGTCTCTTCTTTTTTGAAGCCAAAAAGCTAGGAATGATAACCAAATTGAGCAGTTGAAAAAAACAGAGCACAGAAGAGAGGAAGTTTTGGGCTATGGAAGAACCAAAATGAGGAGCTTATTTATAAGGTTGGAGGGGATTGAATCAATCTTCTAGGAAGTCTGAAACAGAGGAAGTTGAGGAGTCTTGAATCAAGAGGCAGGGGTGAGAGAGTCGTTGACGTGAATTGTGAAATGAAGGGAAAAAAAAAAAAAAAAACAATGGAAACTGGAAAGAATAAAGAAAGAGAGAAATGGGCTGGCTGAAGTTCTTAAAGGCAAAGATTAAGGGCAAAATCATTAAATATTTTGGGTTTCTTCTTTTTTTTTAAAAAAAAAAAAAAAAGAGGATAATTTAGGGGTCCCTTTGGTGACACTTCATTTGGCATCAATTTTGGCCATGTTTGAGTTTGACTAACTAATCCCAATATTTTCTCAATAATAACTACATTTTGCTTATTATTTAATCAAGGAAGGAAGCAATCATCTAGTAGTTATTTTGCTTAGATAATAAAAAATTATGTAATCTCTCTGTTCCAAAATGATCGTCCAGTTTTTGTACGGGAAACAGTAAAAAATAAGAAAAAGGAGAAAGTAGCCATTTGCAATGATTGTTCAATAACTAGATTGTTGCACTTTGTTTGGGTGAGGTAGGGTAAAGGGGGAAAAAGAAAAAAACTAAAAACAGCTTCTAGGGGGATTATATTGGTGCAAAGTATAGTTGTTGTATTACATGTGTCCATCAAGTTTGTGTAAATGATGCCTTTATGAATGCATCAATCATCAATGCAGAAGCAATGTTACTCCAATTATATCATGTAATTTCTAAAAAGACCACTTTTTTCTTTTTCATTATTTAAATGCAATAAGGGTTAACAATTTTGAAATATTGCCATATTGGGAAGCATCTTCCTCAAAGCTTGTTGTAATCTAAACAAAATAAGAAAAACAATTTTTTTTTATTATTATTACAATTATTATCATTTTTATCATTTTTTTTTTAGTGCCGCCATCCCCAGATGGGAAGTTTTTTCTCTCAGGAAAGTGAAAATGAGACGTTCTCTTCAAATTTAAAAGGTTTTATTCTCTTCAAGAACACTTTTCAGCATCTGGTCTTCACGATGTTATGTGTGTAGAACTCTAGATCAACTGTGGTTTACTTCAAAGTAAGACATTAATACATCTGCAATTTTAATGAGGAATTCCAGAAAGCTAAGAAATCAAAAGATCAAAAGATGGAAACCAATCGGGGATGTGTACCATCATGCATCAATATTAATTAGTATACTCCGGTCATAATTATAAGACACAAATTAATATTAAAATTATTTTAAATTTGTACTTTATAATTAGGACCTACAGAAATACATTTCCTCTTCTTTTCGTGTGCATGAAATAAATTCCCATTTCCATAAGACATATACGTCCTACCAAGAAATAAATTTGAACATTGCTATTTTTCATCATAGGATTTTATTCTTAACTTTTTTGCCGTATTAATAGGATTAATTGGATGAACACAAGTTAAAAGGCAGAAAAAAAAAAAAGGATAAATGCTATGGTTGTTAAAATTAAATGTCTGGTTTATGTAAATTGATTTGAGGAATTACAAGGACATAGTTGTCATGTAGTACCAAATCCAGAATAAAAAAATAATTATGGAGGTGACGGTGAAAATGATCAAAGCAATGTGTGCATATGTGTCTTCAAAGAGAGTTGGTATTCCAGATCCAGAGTGCCTTGCATGGAACGATTAGGTCATTGTTTGGTGGTGTTTTTTTTTCCCTTCTTTTTGGGCCCTTTCTAATTAGTCCAAATATTATTTTTTACCAACTAAAGTTATAACAATGACCTGCATTTTTATTAGTTCATTTATTTATTTTACTAAAAAAAATTCAATATCAATCAAACCAAACCTGCTTAAAAGGTTTCTAGATTCATAAGATAGTTACATTTCTAAAAAAGAAATTTACTAAATTCTACATCTTATGTTCAATAACCTTACATATGATATGTACATCAGATATTAATTATAATGTAAGGGGAAATGATAAATTAGTACTCCCTCTGTCCTAAAATTATTGTCCAGTTTGAGATTTCATTTTTAGTACAATTAGAACTAGAAGTGAAATCTCAAACTGGACAATAATTATGGGACGGAGGGAGTATCTGATAAACTTTTTAACGATACAACAAATGAGATCAAGACCAAGACATTGCGGTAATATTGCATTTTATGGAATAACAACATATTCCAAGTTATGCACGGAGGATTAACAAGCCTGGAACAACTACTGATCATCATTTTTATTATTTTAAAAGAATTATTAAGATTAGATTATTTTGATTAAGCTCGTAATTTACTGAACCTAAAAGTTAGTTTAGTTAGGGGGCTGCTATAAGTCATAACCTAACCCTTAAACTGCAATTGTAGTTGTACTACATATGTAGCCAAATTTTCGCAGCCCCCTTATCTGCACGTCAAATATTAACCTCCACTTGGGCATTGCCAAATCAACCCTTATTCAAAACTTCAACACATAAATTAATTAATTAACTAATAAAATAATTAAGATAAGTTGATTTCTTTTTTGCACTAGGCATGACTACCAGTTCAAATCTAACCAAAATCAAATTGATTAAACAAAAACGTCCCGCTTTAATTTTGATTGTCAACATTAATAATGAATTATTTATATAAATTAATTAACTAATAAAGTAATTAAGATAATTTAATAATTAGTCGCATAGTTCTTAGTTATCCTAGAGAATAATTAATATGCAACTGTTGAATTTTTTTTTTTTGGTATGCCATTAATAATCGTTTATTTTAAAATTAATATCTACCTTTTGACATTGTTAAATTCATAAAGTAATTGAGAGTTGAAGATGTGGGTTTAGTCACTAGTAGTACTCCCTCCATTCCAAAATAATTGTCGTTTTAGCAAAATGGAGAAATTCCAAAATAAGTGTCGTTCTCACATTTCAATGCATTTTTTGTCAAAAGTTTTCAAAATTACCCTCAGAAGAGTTGATGCTATTGGCGGACAATTTTATAATGGGGTTGGTTGAGGATATTCAAGCAATTTTATTATCCTATTTAAGAGTTTCTTAAATTATGTGCAAAGTGTAGGACGACACTTATTTTGGAATGGAGGGAGTAAGTTATATCCATTTAACTATGACTAATTAATTCTTTCGAAGGCGTGGATCTTGCTGCCATGGATATCTTTTATACCCCCCAAAAACAATAAAGATTGACTAACATTTTTGTAATTAATTAAATAAATCTGGTGTGTGTGTGTGTGTGTGTTTCTAGAGAGAAAGAATTGTCAAGATTGATACTAGTATTACAAAGACCCAGTATTTTACATAGAAAAAGAAATTACACCAAAGTCTATTACATCGATTGAAGACTCAACAGGTATTTAAATACTTAAGCACAAAGATAATTGATATATATGTCTATCACTACGCAGTTAGAAGAGGTGCACTTGTCAACCTAGAAAAACGCATGAATGATCAATTTTATTAGGTTGGAAAAAATTGGGGCCTTTTCAACTTAGAAAATGTACAAAGGTGTTCATCTAAAATGTTCTATTTTCATTTGACCCTTTGTTCAATTTGTTGAATATCATGATTCTAAAAGTCTCGATAGAGAAGGAGTATTTGTTAGAGTTTCTCGATTACCTAAACGTATTTTAGGTAAGTGGAGGATCACTCCTTAATGGTATTGATGAGAAGGGGGAAAAAATGAACAAAATGTCCTCACAATTGAAAGAAACATAAAATCATTGTTCAAACTTTCAGACGTGTTAAAATTTTAGACGTTATTATTCAGATGCGAAAAATACACCTTCCATCTTAAAAATATAATTCAATTTGTGAAAATAAAATAGTATAATTAGGGGCGGAGGCAGGGGGTAGCCAGCTGGTACGGCGGCAGCCCCTCGGCTTCCATTTTTTTGATTAATTATTGAGCAAAAAAATTAACTAGTTCAATTTCGCACCCCCTTTAAAATTTTTCTGACTATAATAATTTAATTAAATTTGATACAAAAATCTAAGACAATGATCTTTTCTATCTTCGAACATGTAAATCTGAAGGTAAAAAAAAATGAAAGAGCAAAACTTTTACAAAACTTATTATTAAGTTTAGTTTTTCTCACGATAATTGATAGTAATGTAAAATCCCGTGCTAACAATAGAAGAGTAAAAGTCAAGGCCCAAAACAATTATAATAATAACAAAAATATGAAATTCAACTAAGAACTCACATCAACACGAACTTGATATAATAATTTAAATTCATCAAGTATCATATATTTTCAAACAAACAATAGTGAATTACAAATTTATGTAATTCCCGTTAATTATACTAAAATTTTCTTGTAGTGAATTTAATGTAGTGTAAATAAAAGTAACTAGCTTTCTCTTGTATATAAAACTTATTAAATTAAGAAATTGTTTCCCTAAATTTACCTGATCTAAAATACACCCTAGGCTATATATTTAAGCCATGTACCGTTAATTTTGATGTCGAAAATATGTAAACTACGTACTTCGAAATAATTTATTATACATTTTTGAATGAGGAAAAAAAAGGATTTTGGTATTTTCTTATAAAAATTTTTATTTTGTGAAGTACTAAGTACTTAATCGGTTAGTTTAATTTCGCACCGCCTATCCCAAAATTTTGGCTCCGCCACTGGGTATAATAATAGTAGACTAATTTTGTAGGATAAAAATATTTATTAACGTATAAAATTATTTGTAAAAAAAGAGCCGCGTACACAATGACTTGTCGTTCTTTTCCAATAAACAATACAACAATTTTTTTAAAAAAATTGTAATTATGATTTTGAGGCAAAAAAGTATGTACTTCCTAAAATAGATAGCATAGGTGCTTGTAAAAAACTACTCCAAACCAATGCATTTCAATTCCGCATATTATGATAATCATGTGGTACCGAAATGGATTTAGACATTTCAATGGATGCAGATCAAAGTCAAAACGTGAAATGTTCTTTTAGGCCACTCTGTCCTATAATTAGTATCTGCTTGTTGTCATTTTTTAGTACAAGAAACATAATAGAGAAAAATATTAAAATACCATTTTAATTGATGGAGAAAGTCTTGAAGGAGTAATTAAGAGCAGCCTTATAGCAAGTAATTAGTTCTTCTTCTTCTTTTTTTCTTTTCTTTTTTTTTTTTTGAAAAGGAGTAATTAAACCTTATTACGTACTAATAGTAAATAATTAATCACAAACAAAGATAAGTGTACACAACCTTCTTCTTTTTCTCTTTTCTCTTTTTATATCATACATTAGGTTCAGAAGTCACTGTGGAGATCAATTCCGATTGAAGCCAGGTAAATCCTTTTTCAAAGACAAAATTACCTAACAAACATTTTAGTTACTCCATATATCCTAAAAGAAATTCCCACAGTATACCAAAATGTGGATAGCATTCTATATCAAGATGAAGAAATTGAGTTAAGACGCTGAAATGAAAATTAAAAATAACACTACGAATGTTATGATGTAACCAGAAAAGATAATAAAATTTGGAATTTCTTCGTATACATTACCATACTTTCAAATATTTTTTAACAGTATGTATCTTAAAGTGATTGTTATGTCTATCATATAAGAAAATATATAAATTTAATAATCTAGTGGTTAGAGTGTTATCTTTTCTGGTATAAATTTGATAATTATTTTCAGACTTGAGGCTGTTTCTTCTAAAATAAGAAATTAATGAACGGAGGCCATGCATAGATAATTCAACCCAAAATACTGATTTGTCCTTAGATTTGGAGGCAGTGATCATGCTTTTGCGTAACAAACAGCTATCATGGGATTTCGGCTTTACCAGTTTATTTATCGGGCCTGGCTCAAACACTAAAAGGCCTGCACAGGTATCGAACAAAATCCATCATTTGAGCTGGGAAATCACCGTTTAATGGATCGATGCAATTCAAAATAAGCCCCAAGATTCTGTACTACTATCATTTTGTCTAGTCCATTACCATTTTGGAGTTGAGAATGCAGCCTAAACTAAAAATCAATTTTGTTTTTATTTACTGTCTTGCATATGTCATAAAATTTTCAAATTTGTCCAAACGATAAAGATGAATTAAGTTTTTTCTCCCCTCTATGATTTAGATATGTTTAATGTTAGTGCAAGATATAATCTGTACTAAATTCTTTACATTGGTTATTGGTGGTGAGGGACATAACAATGTTATAATTTAGGTGGCAGCAACACTCATCGTTGTTCGTAAGTAGAAAATTGAAGGAGACATTACATTTAGAGATCACTCGTCTTTAAGTTTATACGGACCATAAATCTTTGACTGGAGATTTAGGGTCTCTTTTAATACTTTCTGAGGCCTAGGAGGTGATTTCTTTGTTAGTTACTTGTATTTCTTTATTTCAGTCTTGCTCATTGATTAAAGTGAATAGGCATGATGTCGTAGAATTACATAATTTAGCATTCCATAAAATGCAATGTAATAATTTAAGTACTTCTTAACTAATATACTTGTATTTCTTTTTAAAAGAAAACTAAGGGCAACAGATTTTTCTTTCTAGATAATCTAATGAATGTTGGAAAAGGAAAGAAAGTTGGTTCCATCCAATGTTGGTGGGATCATCAATAATATTAGATTCATTGTATATAAAGTAAATTGCATGGCGAATTCAATTTCAATGAAAAGTTTTTGACCTTATTATTCTTTAACTTTGTTTAAGAACTTTTATCCCCTGTTTTTTCATCTATATAAAATTCTTGAAAATAATCAAATTTTACTTGCTACATTAGTGTAACATTTATTTTTTTTATCACCCGGATATAATAAGAGTCGCAACATGATACCAAAAATGGAAAAGAAAGGAAAACATATTCTCAATTCAAGTGAAGAGATAATTTTAGCAATTATACAAAGAATCCCTTCGGAATGATGTAACAATAATGTTTGGAAGAATAAAAAAATACTGCTTCAAAAAAGTAAATCATTAAAATAAGACAATGGAATTAGAAAAACTATAAAATCCGCTATATGACTAAGAAATATTTTTGAATAAGACTTGACCTAGACTACAATCTATTAAAGTAATGGGGAGGAACTTAGTCAATCGACTGGCTCTAAGAACTCATATTATTGTTTTTTTTTTCCCGTTCTATTAGTACAATATATTGCAAATAAAGCCACCTAGTTTGGTGCAAATGGAAATTAATTATAGTATTAATCGTACATATGAAAATTAAAAATGTTTAAGTCAACTAACCAAAACTATGGAAAATTCTTCATTCTTATGTACCCTTACCAACTTGCATCAGGAACGTTACGCCAGCGTGATGGTTATTATCAAAGCTTTTACCATTTCAGGAGTACCATTTTTTCTCTCTTTTTTCTTTTAGTTTTTTACTTTCCAAAGTTAATAGGAAAAATTTATCTTCCCAGCCCAATTGCTTAAATAATTAATTTTGTCGAACACAGTTGAATACCAGACTTCTTTTTCTTTTCGGAAAGGTAGGTCAACTAAAATTACGTTCAACATATTACATACGTAACACATAACTAGATGCTTGGCCCGACCAAAAGGTCGGGCGGCCCTTTCAAATGATAAAATCACGGTTTAACTCTCTCAAGTGATTCACATGGTTTTAACGTAGTTTAAATGTGTGCTAGTCCTGATATAATTAGCAAGTTTGTCGCATAATTTTCTTTGCTTCTCTGTAAGCATTTGACAAATTTTAACAAACTTTTTTTTTTTTTTTTAAAAAAAAAACCAACTCTCTTCAAATCTTTCATATTTGTTTCAAGTTCAAGACAAGATTTGGACAAAAGGGTTCAAAGTTAATGTCATGGATGTCAGAACTAATTCAGGTTAATTAGTATAGTTTGTTAGCAAACTGATCAATTTCAAGTTTGTGTCACGAAATACTCTAATCATCCGGAAATGATTGTTTAATTGGAGTTTTTATTTTAGTTCAAATTATATTACAAATTAAAAATACAAGGTGCACAATAATAATTTTAGAATAGAAGGGGTAATACTTTTACAATAGCAAAAATCAGGGTTCAATTAATCAAGTTTGTTCGACTCTGCCACATGATGTCCAAAGATTTTTAAAAGTCCAATGTCACCTGCTACAACAGGTAATTTGAACATGTTCATGTAAGAAATATCAAATTATTGTTCTTTTCTTGAGGGAGAAAAGAAAGATTACATAACCTTTCCTCACAAGTTGGGAAAATTTTTAACACTTTTTGGACAGAGTCTTTTGCTTGCTGCTTCAATCCAGATACCACATTTACTAGTAGTGTACTCCCTTCCTTCCGTCCCATAATTATTATCTAGTCTGAGTTTTCATTTTTATTTCAAATTGTACTAAAAGTGAAATATTAAATTGGACAATAATTTTGGGACAGTATAATTTTTTGGTCAAAAAAACAACTTTGTGACACCAGCCATAATATTCTTCGACACCAACAATATATGATCATTTGCCAAATTCAATTCCAATCTACAATTCTACTCTAGTAAAATAAGCTAGTCTTTCTTTTCTGTTTTTTTTTTCCGCTGCTTTTAAGTCCTCTGTTCTCTCTCCCTCCCTTTTGTGCTGATCTCACTTAGATCGCTCATCAATAGGCATATACACCAGATTGTAAATCCATATAAAAAGCTACCCAAAATATTTCTCAAGCATTTTGTACATTGAAGCCAAAAAAATAAAACTTGCTGATCAGCTATGAAGGTATATGCTTGATTGTACCTAAGCTTTCTTTTTAGCTGCATAAAGGGGTTGATCCATTTGTGTCAATAATAATATTATTTGAATCATTTTTTTTTCTTTTTTTTTTTGGATTTGGCATTGCAGAAAATCGAGCTCAAGGTTAGCTTCAACTGCAGCAAATGCAAGACAATTGTCCTAAAAGCTGTGGCCAAACTTGAAGGTTTGTAATTCTATACTACATGGCTTTTCTTGTCTTCTTCATTCGATGATCAGGGTTCAATTTCTCAAGATGAAATTTACAAGATAATTTTTAGCTTCAAAATGTTAATGGGACCCAAAATTTGAGGGTAATGTATATTGCTACAGGGGTGAACGAAATCACGATTGATGCTGAAAAAGGCATGTTAACCATCGTCGGCGAGGTTGATCCGGTGACTGTGACAAGAAAAGTCAGAAAGACTGGAAAACATGTGGAGATGATCAGCGTCGGACCACCGGAAAAACCAGAGGAAAAGAAAGCAGAGGAGAAGAAACCAGAGCTTCCCCTGCCTCATTGTTGCCCACAATGCCAAGTGATCATCACTGAGACCTATGATTTTGGTGGCGGAATCTGCACCATTCTCTGAAACTCAAAACCGATCATTATCAGATTAGGATTCTCGTATATACATTTAAGATCGTTTACGACTCTTATGTTTTCTGCATTTCCATTTCCTGATGGTGTTATTGGCGTGTAATAATGAATATAAAGAGATTCTCGAGATTATTTATTCTGTTTGAATCAGTTCCTTTTTTACCAATTTATTAAAATGTATTCATACTTCATAGTGCAGTGATGATGAATGATAAGTAATCATCCACAGTTACTAAAAACTGGGGTTTTTTTTATAAAAAAAAAAAAAATTAAATTTGTCGTCAGCATCTGCGAGTTCAAAACTAGGCAGGTGGGATTCGAAGTACTAAAAGTCAATAGACTCAACACCCATGATTTCAATGATTTTTCTGGCTGAAGCTGCTTACTAATGAGTGAGAGGACAATTGAGAGATTCAACACTTTTGGTTTGTTTTCTTAAAACAGAGAATTTGAACTTTGTTGTCTCCTGTTACCTAAAACTCATTAGACTGTGCAGTGTTTGCTCGATCAAATTTAATTAATTACTGGGTCTCGAGCCAACAAAAAGAAGGAAGAAATACTTCTTCTGACTGCAGAGAAAAGAGTGCGACACAGCATTTAGCTGCAAGAGCTGAGCCCAGGTTGGTGATTTCTTGTATCCCTTCAGAACTAAAGAGGCGTTTGTTTTGTCAGCTGGAAACGGATTCAGGAAACGGATTTGAATGATGAGGGAATGGATTCGAATAATTAAGAATTCACAAATTCATAGTGACGTTTGGTTGAGCATATGAATTGGAAAAAAAAAAAGAATATATTTTTACCATTCTTATCAAAAATAAAAAATTAAACACCTCTTTCCCGTCCACTCCTCTTCTTCACCTGAGAAGTGCCTCCTCATCACCACTGCGCACCAAGAACCACCACCACTTATAATGACACCCAACTTCGCCACCTCTGCAAAAATCTCCTTTATTTTAAATTCAATCAGATTCACGGATCAAACATTAAACCATTAGTTCCTTTCAGTTACTATTAACGAACACAAATAAATAGACTGAAAAAGGAGATTTCAGTCTGAAGAGTAAAATCACAGAATTACAAAAAGAAAAGAAAAAAAAAAAAGCTTTCTACCACCGGCACTGATCAAATCATCCAACTCCATGTCAAAATTTCATATATGTGATCTTTCATGTTAATTTATCATTAAATTATAGAGCAAAAAAAAAGAGAGAAAATGAGAGGAAAGAGAAGAAGTTGCAAAAAGCGATAATTTCACTCCTCCCCTTGCTATTCACTCAGACAATAGGCAAACGAAATCATTAATCTGATTTGGATAGCCAAATGTGTAAGGAGAGAAGTAAGGCAGCTTCCAATAAATTTGCTAATTTGTTAGTGTAGGAGAAAAAATTCGAAAAACAGAAATAAAGTACTTCTCCAAAGTTAGATCTGAGTTGCTAATTAATGTTCCCAGCAGCAATCTAATTAGGAATAATTGTTGATGAGTATATAGTGAGTTGGAAGTAGATCGGGATGTAGGGATTAAAAAGAAGAGGCTGGTACTGCCTTTGGCTATCACGGCGACGGTGATGGTGGCGAGGTTGGCGGCGAATCATTTACCAAAATATTGTGTTTGTACCACTGGTGGCCTGAAATACAAGGATCAAAAGGAGTGGTCAGGAAATAACATTCCTGGAAAACCAAATTCCGTTTTTAAGAACTACAGTAATAAAAACGGAATTTCATTTACCGGTTATAATATAATTAAGAGTACTTATTGTTTTGACTGGATGATTATGACAAAAACGAAAAACCATTTTCCGTTTTAATAAAATTCATGAATTAAAAAAAATCGTATAATAATAATACCGGGAAATAATTTTCATAGATAATAAACGGAATTTGGTTTTCCGTTTTTAACTTGAAATGTTTGAAAAAAAAAAGTGAAGCCTAAAACTCACCAACCTGTGCAATACCAATAAACAGAACCAAATCTCCATTCAAACAGAAACAAGCAGCAACTTGTGCAACACCAATAAATAGAACCAAAGCTTCATTCAAATAGAAACAAGCAGCAAAAGTATTTAGTTCAAATCACAACCACAAAAATTCCAGCAACTAATCCATGTCTAAATCATGGAATTATCCCCAAATCATGTCCAAAACAGTTCAAAACTACGAAATACAACCTAAAAAGAAATTACTCCTCCGGCAATGGCGGCGTAAACCTAGAAGGTGTATACTTTTTAGATGGCCTGCATTTCCGATCCTGTTTTCTTTTTGCCAAAGGTAGGCTGGATTACTGCAAAGTTTGGGATGCCTGAAACTCAGCATCTTGCTCTATAGTTGGAGTCACCTCAATCTCAATACCTTGCTCCGTAGTAGTTTGTTCCTGCTCCATAGTAAACATAGTTTGTTCCCCAGTAAACATAGTTTATTCCTGGGGAGACGGAGTTTGAAACAAGTTTGCAAAGAACTCATTGGATTCTACTACTTTCTTTCTTCCTCCAATTCCAGCCTTAGGGATATTAGCCCTGCGATGTTTAGCAACTGTTATGGGTCTTTTAGGTTGAATTTGGAGAACCACTTGGCTTGGATACAAAGTAGGCATCTCTGTCAGGACAATCGACAAGGCATTCTCAGCCAAAGCAGAGATTGAATCAGAAAATTCCTCACATGTCGCATTTGAACAACATTTCTCAGCCTTGTACGTTTCGACCTTCTTGACAATGTCATTCAAAGTGCCCTTCTAGAATTTTGCAAAGAGAAAAAACTATAAAATAACTAAAAAGAATACAAAATAACAGTAATCTACTGGAAATGGCAGTTGAGAATTACAATAAAGAAGGGTATGAGGAAAACTTTCATATAATTTTGCCCGATCTGATTGTTAAAGAAACCCCTCCACCCTTTGGTCATATTTACTAGGATCCGTACTGAATCTAACGGTCCTGGATTGATACCACAGAAGATAATCATCAGTGGCTAAAGGTAACCCATTAGATGATGGGCCTTCCTCAATGGAGCTCAATCTGTCATCCCAAGAGTCAATGTATTCACGATTCTTATCCATCCAATTAGTCCCATGATATCCAGTCTTACCATAACGATGTATTTTTTCCCATTGAGTCTTGTTGGCAATCAAGGGTGGTTCTGGGATAGTTTGGATTTGTCCAAATTGTCGCAGGACACGATCGGGTTGATGTGGTTCCGTGACATCAAAACAAATCAATCACGTTTTTTATTGCAAACATTTTTGACCCCGTGTACAAGAATCAACAAGCTTAGGGAGGTATTTAGCATAAGGCATCCAAGTGAACTGACAAATTAATTAAAAAAACAGAATAAAAGTGTTGCAATGTCCAGATTTGAAAAATTGGAAAAAAAAAGTTCTGAAAAAGGGGAAAAAAATCCAATCATCTTGAAAGATTTGAAAAATAGTCCTGAAAAAATCAAAAAAAAATCCAGCAGTGAAAAACAAAATGTCCAGATTTGAAAAAATGAAAAAAAACAGTGTTGAAAAAGGGGAAAAAAATCTAATTGTCTTGAAGGAATTAAAGTCTTGAAAAAATAAAAAATAAATCCAGGTTTAAAAAACAAAATGTCTAGATTTGAAAATTAAAAAAAAAAACAGTCCTGAAAAAATAAAAAATAAATCCAGGTTTAAAAAACAAAATGTCCAGATTTGAAAATAAAAAAAAAAACAGTTCTGAAAAAGGAAAAAAAAATCCAATTGTCTTTAAGGAATTGAAAACAGTCTTGAAAAAGACCAAAAAAAAAAACCAGGTGCCAAAAGTCCAAAATAATCCGAGCTCTTACATGATTAGGTGTAGTAAGAGCTGAAAATTGATCTCGGTAGGCAGTGATAGTATGAGCCGGTACCCCAGAAAGGCTCAAAGGAACGCACCACCTATTGGAAAAATAATAAACTGTGTAACGTTTCCAAGCAAACTAAAATAAGTGTAACAATAAAAATTAAAAAATATAAGTATATGTACATAACTGACCTTGCACCAAACGCATGGTCCTTGAAAAATTCTTCATCACATTGCCTCTGTGGTCGTATCACAGGGATACGCTCCCACGCCCACAGGTATACATAAAAACAATGACAAGCTGTAAATTTCAATTTTTGTTTAAAAAAAAAACAGTGACTGAGAAGTAAAATTTAAAAATGACCTGCAAAAGAAGTAGGCAACCACCAACATTCCAATTTTTGCTTTGTGCTGCCTTACAAAGACCTTTGTAAAGCATAGCGAGACATGCACTGCCCCAGCTAAGTTTAATACAATTCTTCAGGTTGCGTAACAATGGCAAATAACACAAGGAAACTTTATCAGTTGAGTCAGGAAAAAGTATACCGCCTAAAGCCCACATTATAAAGACCCGTGCCCTCTTTTCATAAGCAGGTTTTTCAGAATTCTCGGCAATAGGCACAGGTACTTGTTTTTTTAAGGATGATATGTAAATGGTGTTTCCTTTGAAGGTGGGTGCGAAATCCAAAAGTTCTTCACACATAGCAGGCCAGGCTGTCTTCTCTACAGGGTTGTGCGTAGCAGGGGGGCCATCTACATTTAGACCTAGTAGAACCTCAACGTCTTGGAGAGTGATGGTTGCTTCACCCATTGGGAAGTGAAAGGTATGCGTTTCAGGATGCCATCTTTCAACCAAGGCAGTAATAAGATGGTTGTCTAGTTGCAGATGTCCGTTCGACAACAAAAACGCAAAACCAGCTTCATGAATACATTCTACTACCTGCTTAGGTGCGCCAACAAACTCTCCCCAAATGCGACTATTATTTCTCCGGCACTTATGGTGTCTATCTATAAAATCTTCTACACCGTCGAAAACAGGTGCCGATCTATGGTCACCTTGCAAGTATAGGAGGTCGTCAATGTCCGGTCCCTGGTTAGTGTACACTTGGTTTGGGTTTGCGTTTGGGTTTGTGTAGAAGAACTAGCCATTTTTCTGCCAAAGGAGTTAAACACGAATATTTCAACAATGACAAAGGGAGTA